CAGACCATACCAATTTATTCAATACAAGGCATGGCAGGGATGGGCAGCTAGCTCCTTCTGCTTTACCCATGCAGTCCATGGGTGGTATTGTGTGGAACAGGCAAGTTTATGAAGCAATTACATCGCAAGGATATTTACCTACAAGCAATCTTGTGGAACATCCCATCTCAATAGTGAGCATTGCAAAGCCATGGAAGATAAAGTGTGAGTCAACATGGCTGTACAGTGCAGATTTCAAGTTGAAGAATACCTGGTCAGGCACCACTTGCCACAGAGCAGGATACATGTAACGAGTAAAGGAAGCAAGAGCCCCTGAAAGGAAATGTATGAATATAAACTTACTCAGTCAAAGTCCACTGAAGCCTGAAGAATGGCCACAGGTGGAAGACGAAAACCAGATGAAGAACAAACCAAGATATGATGTAAATAATGGGAAACGAAAGTATTTGGTGTCGTCCACATGCCCGACTATAGGATTTCCTCCAATGGCTGATGAAGATGAGATGCAAGGGAAAAGATGAGGTGTCAAATCTGATGAGAAGACACCTGAAACAAATTCCAGGAGGAATAAGCCAATCGATTTAAAAGTCAACCCCAACTAGTGAGGGTAGAAGGAGGAAAGATCTCGAACAGAGGAAGACTGCCAAGGGATAAAGAGTCAGGAACAGGTACCATGAAAGGATACTGTGCAGGCAATATAACAATGAAGAGTACAGACTGGACAGAGAAGTCTATTCAGATTGGGACAAGGATAGAGATTACAAATAGAAGGAAGCGAAAAAGGAGGAGTTACCCTCCCTAACTGCCAAGGTCTTTGGGAGGAAGGAATGATCTGGATAAAGGAGAAGATAGGTAAAGTGTATGTGAAATTTCAATGGCAAATAAATTAGACTTTCATCATGTACAATCTAAGAGGAGAAGGAAATACATTTTAAAGGAAACATGGAACTCAAGGAAAGTGTTTCAAATGGATGTAAAGTGAGGGAATGGAGGACCACATTAATATTCCAGTCCACAAGAGTAGGCTGTCTGGGGGGGGGATGATGAATCCAGAAGGAACACATTAACATGGTAAGGAAAGGGGAAGCAAAAACTCGACGGTAGCAGGATAAGGTAGCCTGTTAACCCGAGGGCAAGGAGACTGAAGACTCCTGAACAAAAAGCCATGTGAGGAGCTCTGCCACTTGAGCCACAGTAGGTTGGTTAGCATGGAAACCCTGAGTCGCAAGCCAACTACAAAACACTCCCATTTTCACTGATACACCTCCATTGAGAAGGACATATGGAATGAGCTAGAAGGAAAGCTACTCAATGGGAGGAACCTGATCTCCTCATCAATTACCAGTTAAAAGCCAGGCCTGAAGACAAATGATATGAATGGCTGGACGTAGAACCAGTGACTGAGGTTGATGAAGAAGGGAGGGAGACAAAGGAAGAAGCACTGGAGGGAAAAGTTGCAGTTGTTGTAATTGTGGAATGATGAGGAGGAAGTGGGACACCCACTGACATATGGGCCTGGTCCAACCACCATTGCAGATCTTCCATCATGGTAGGAGGAAGGGTAATGGGAGCTGACAAGGGATCCCAAGCTAGGTTCCATTTATCGTGAAGAGCCCACTGAAGGGATTGCATATGCACATGACTGAGGGAGACCAGTGATAACATTGAAGATCATATCCCCAAAAAGCAATAGAACCTTGCGAGCAGAAAGTGAAGGAGCTGAAAGGGCATGGTGAGCAGACAGTTCCATGGAATGAAATTGTAGAGGAGAAGGTTGGGCCCAACTGAGATGAGTGTTAAAAAGACAATCAAGTGGATGAAGTATTGGCCAGGTCGGAAGAACTCCAATTTGACTAACCAGCCCATCCAAGCAGCCAATAGAAGGAGCTAATGAGTATGTCTGGCCGGAATGAGCCAGTCATCCACATAATGGTGGCATTACAACCCCAGAGAATGAAGATGGTGACTAAAACCTCTGACCACCCAACAGAAAACACAAGGGGCAGAAGCAAGCCCAAAGGGTAGGGTGCAAATTGATAAAACACCCTATGATAGATGAGCTGAAGATAAGGACGAGACCATGGTGATATACGAATTTGGAGATAAGCATTGGTCACGTCCATTTTTGTCATCCATAATACCAGAGAAAATGCCTAGCATAGGGTGAGAAATTGCTACATAGTAAAACAGGGCAGTTGAATGAAGCAACTGAGGTGGGATGTATCGATGACAGGCTTTCAGTCCCGGGTTCTTGGGAAAAACAGAGAGTCTGTAACCAAAACATGGTGAAGGATGTAGAACAGGTTCAAAACTGCTGAGATAGTAGTTTCTGGACTGCCTCTGACAGATGCTGGCTGGTCATGGTATCCCTAGGCAGAGATAATGAAACAGGTATGGAAGACATGAGATATACGGAAGAAAATGGGATCATGAATTAAGGTCGCATCATGACCTAGAAGGTCCCAACAACACAGAAGCCACATATGTAAAGCCTGAGCCACAGACAACATATGAGCGAATGTGGAGGAAAGAAGGGAAAGGATGTCCCCAGAAAACCATTCAGGATTTCGGTGGAGAGCCTCAGAGAGGAAATGGATGGTAGACAGATACTATAAAAAGAGTTGTGAGGGTAAGATAAAGGCGGGAAATTCGGGCATGGGTCTGACTTACAGTAGATCTGGAGGCTACACCCCAAACAGACAAAATGGTACCCAACAATTGCTGGTCCAGAAAAGGGCAGTTTGCATGACAATATGCAAGAGCAAACTGATCTGAAGACCATGGGGGTTGAGGCATGTTTATCGAGTCACTTAATTGTGAGGCAAATTGTTCAGCACATCCGGAATTTCTGGGAGGAAGGGGGGACAAATAGGGATGGGAAGATTGGTCATGTAAGAAGAAAGGATACAGTTCATAGGAGATAGGGGAAAGGGATAAAATGTCACATACCTAAGAAACGAAATCCAAATAGACCATATTAGGCCTAACTGACTCCTCAGGCGGGACATGGGAAGGCATGGCAAAATCAGGAGGTGGAAGTAGGCAATCCAAGTCCTTGTCCACCTGAACAGACTCAGTTTGTTTGGGAGAAAGTGTGGCGAGGTCCCTAGACAGAGGTTGACCCATGTAAAGTTCAATCTCCCAGTGAATAAATGTGGTTAAATCCCCCACCTGAGGCGTATTACATAGCACTAGTCACAGGTGTTACCCTCAAAGTGATAACATGAACTTCAGAATTCATAATGAGGAAATGTCAACCAATAAATAAAGTATAAATAACAATGCGATTGTAATAAACTGGAATTAAAGTGAAGTTAAGAAACAGTCTTAATAGAAACTAGAAATAAAAGAAATGAAGACCACTTCACAAGTATACTAAAGATGAATGTAAAGCTTTAAACAAAGAAACAGGAACATGTTCGAGCATAAGTGCTGCCAAACGAGAAGTGATAGTTTGGTAGAGGCATATAGAGGGAGTCACATGCATCACAAACAAACAAACAGGAACATGTTCGAGCACAAGTGCTGCCAAAAGAGAAGTGATAGTTTGGTAGAGGCATATAGAGGGAGTCACATGCATCATGTCCTACTGGGGGAGAAGTGATGTATGGTGATTTACATGAGAGATATGTTGGAATCATTTGATTCCAATAAGTGGGAGCAGAAGGCTTGTGGCATGCAAAAACGAAATTGTACATAGAGGCAGCACTGGTCGAGAATAGCTAATCTTGTGAGAGGAGAGAAGTACCATATTGGAATATATAGTTTCTACACATCTTGTGACATTGTTTCTAAGCTTTATTTTGTACACTACACTGGTATAAGATTATCTTCATTGTGTGAAAACTGTGTGTGTGAATTTTTTGTAAATCAACAAGTTTCTAGCCACCATTACTATCAAAATCATTACCACACCCCACTAAGATAAGTTTAATTTTTACTGGGAATAATTAAATAATGTACTAAATATTTGTTAAACCTGCTACTATTTTACAGTTTCTCACTTAATGTCATACAGATACTACAAATGTATTGTTTCTCTTCACAGTGATACAGATATTACAACTGTATTGTTTCTCTTCACAGTGATACAGATATTACAACTGTATTGTTTCTCTTCACAGTGATACAGATATTACAACTGTATTGTTTCTCCTCACAGTGATACAGATATTACAACTGTATTGTTTCTCCTCACAGTGATACAGATATTACAACTGTATTGTTTCTCCTCACAGTGATACAGATACTACAACTGTATTGTTTCTCTTTACTATGATACAGATATCTGTATCATAGTAAAGAGAAACAATACAGTTGTAGTATCTGTATTATAGTGAAGAGAAACAGTACACTTGTAATATCTGTATAATAGTGAAGAGAAACAGTAGTTTTTTTCTGTATCACATTAAAGAGAAGCAGTACACTTGTAATATTAGAAGTGTACTGCTTCTCTTTACTGTGATACAGAAAAAAACTACTGTTTCTCTTCACTATGATAAAGATGATAAAACTACTGTTTCTCTTCACTATGACACAGATAATAAAACTACTGTTTCTCTTTACTATGATACAGATACTACAACTGTATTTTCTCCTCACTATGATACAGATACTACAACTGTATTTTCTCCTCACTATGATACAGATACTACAACTGTATTGTTTCTATTCATTATGATAGATATTACAGTATACAGATAATAAAACTACTGTTTCTATTTACTATTATACAGATAATAAAACTACTGTTTCTCTTTACTGTGATACAGATAATAAAACTACTGTTTCACTTTACTATGATACAGATAATAAAACTACTGTTTCTCTTTACTATGATACAGATAATAAAACTACTGTTTTTCTTTACTATGATACAGATAATAAAACTACTGTTTCTCTTTATTATGATACAGATAATAAAACTACTGTTTTGCCTGAGGTTTGGAAAACATCTGTGTAAAAATGTTGTGGGACCTCCTCTGAGACTTATACAGAAATATAAATTTACATACAGGTCACATTATCTAGCTAAGAAGAAATAAATGTGACATTTATATCTTCAAGTTCACTCCTAATGATGACGTGGTAAATTTTGAAACATGTAGAGTCCACATTTCAGAAATATTTTTAATTGTGTATCAATTTTAACATTGTCTGTTATTTACTTATTATTTCAACATTATACACAATTGCCAAGAAAACAATATTTAATTGTACATGCTCATAATGCACAGGCTAGAGAATGAAAATAAACATTACAGTTTTTGCACTGGTGGCATTAATATAATTGTTATGCAGAAATTAGGAATTCAAAACAAAATTAGGGGAAATATATCAACAAAATGGCATGCGCTTATAATAGACAATGAATAATAGAACTATTTAACTTCAACAAATATTCAAATCAAACAAAACAATTCAGTATACAATTCTCTCCAAAACATTTTATTGCTTCATGTCAAACTGGCTATTTATCATCTTCTACACAAGTGAAATAATTGAATTATTTATGAAGGACTGGAACAAATAAAAATATGCAAACCTTAACTATCACAACAAAAGGGGGAGGAATGTTAAAATTTTTCTTACACTGAAAAGGTATTTCCAATAGATACTTACCTCTACTCACACAAAGCTATCTAAATCTTTATACTCTGTCAATTTCAGGCCATTTCTGAACATGTATATCTCATATGACTACTCTTCACCAATAGTACTGCACCACCTATACTGGCGCAGCTAGCTCCTTCTGCTTTACCTGCTCAATCCTCGCTTTTGAGAATTGGCATGTTCTAAAAGAAGAACACTGGCCATAGATAGGAATGGTGAGAAGTGTGGGAGGGGGTGGGGTGGGGTAAATATCTATCAAAAAAAAATGTCAGCTTCCAATATGGTCCTACCTCCTCTCACACAAAGCTAGATTCCCACATTGCAAAGGTGAAGGGGCCAGTTTAGGTGCACAACATAGTAACCAAGTGAAAAGCAACCGCCAAGAATGAACGAGTGTGCTCCAAGATGAACAAAGCACACAAGTGGGATACTTCACTACTTCTGAAACAGGTATACTCTTCGTCCTTGAAGTAGGAAATGAACTTGACATAAGCAGATGCATACACAACCTCAACCAGACAAACAAGGTTTCATAACTCGTCCTCGGTATTAGGAGGATGTGCACAAATGCAAGTCATACTGAGAGGTGCAATTCATACTAAAATATAAACAGTATTAACTATGTATATACACAACCTAAACTGGACAGATGAAGTTCCATAACTCGTCCTTGACGTTAGGAGGATGTGCACAACTGCTGTTAGTTCTGAGAGATGGAATGCATAGTAAAAAATATAATAAGAAGTAACTATGTACATGTACAACCTCAACTGGACAGACAAGGTTCATAACTCATCCTTGGAATTAAGAGGTTGTGGATGAAAAGTAAAAGTAACATAATGTAGCATAAACATAGAAGCTAAGGCATGTGGACCATGTTATATAGACTCAGCAACCCTAACTGTAAGTAAACAGAGTGCCATGCATCAAGCAACTGGAATTACGAAGAGGAAGTAAGCTTTTGGTGGAAACCGGGCAAAACAATTGTAGGAGCTAGAAGCACA